TATTATTATTATTATTATTATTATTATTATTATTATTATTATTATTATTATTATTATTATTATTATTATTATTATCACGATGAAGAAAGCTACACTTAATATGACGATGGATATTATGATGCTTACTCATTTTTAAAAAGAAAGAAGACTTTTGCCATAATCTGCACTTATCCAAGACCAGTAGTTTTACCCCTCCTTCATTTGGCTTGCGCCAAACAAGTATTCTTCCACTCTTTGGAACTAGCATTATACGTGTCTCATCAGAGAATACATGCTTGTTCCAATAAGCAAGTGATCGATGAATATTATGGCAAGCCCATTTATAACGTTGTATAAGGTTAAATTTGGGTAAATATGTTTTTTTTTTTTAAGGCTACCTGACTTTTTAATTTATCAAACAACGTTGGAATGTTTTTGAAGAAACCTGAAAGTCCGTATTATTCATGTTTCAAGTTTTTGTCAATTGGTTTTACGCGCGGTAGATCCATATTGCTAATCTGTAATTATTGGTTTTCTTCCACTACGTTTTGTTGGCAATGGATTAATCTTAAATCATTAAATTTAAATATTTATAGTTTAACAAAATTTTTTAATATAAAAACGATATTTATTTTTAATCACAAATCACTAAGCCAAATAATTTCCGTAAACCACATGTTCTATACCAAAATCTACTTTCGAGTAATTAACTTTTATCGCGATTATGATTAATATCAGATAAAATAACAATAATACAAGTAAAAAAAGCAACTTATAGTATTTAAAATATATAATAACAAAACTTTATTATTTTTATATATACATAATAAAAATTATAAAGATATAAACGTGAAATTATAAAATAAATCTCGTTTCGACCGAATTTCTTTGATCAATACCGATTAATCGATAAACCGAAGTAAACCATCTACCTAGTAATAAAAAAAAAAAAAAAATAAGTAAATGTCATCTATCCACAATACCGATTTGTCAACAAAAATAGCATGGGCGAACATAATAAGAATATATATAAACATTCTAGACGTTCGCCCCTCAAATGACCACGTGTTTCACCCAAGAGCATTAATGTCGCCTAACAGGAACGGTATATGTGGGTAGACCTTTTGAAATATATGAGAAAAGAATCTAACCAGAATACCGATTTTTCAACACTATAGCATGAGCGAACATAATAAGAATATATAAACATTCTAAACGTTCGCCCCTCAAACGACCACGTGTTTCGTCCAAGAGCTTT